TCTCTCTCTCTCTCTCTCTCTCTCTCTCTCTCTCTCTCTCTCTCTGTTTCGCAAGGGAAGCGCCGAAAGGGAAGAGCGAATGGTGACCGGACGCTGACGCAAAACAAGAGAGAAAAGTAGAACGAGAAGCCAAAGAGTTATATCACATATGTGTGTATGTGTGTGTGTGTATATATATATGTATATATCTTGTACATGAATTTCCACACACAAATATAGATCATGAGAGGCAGAGACGCAAAACTAATCAACTTCGAGAGAGTGCCTCGATTATTGCAGGTGTTGCAGCAGTCAGAAACGCCAGCCGAAAGCCCGATGTCGATGGACGATGAAGTGGGACCGGTTCTCTTTCGTATGCGTCCCTTTATCTACGTGCTCTTTCCTACGCTCTATGTTCGATTCTGATTTTCCAATATTGTTAAAATTTTGCGCTTTTCTTTTAGTTACCATAGATAACGTGTTCCGCCATATATAGATGTATCACTTCTCTGTCTGTCTGTCTCCTTAATATCGATCAAATAATGAATTAGTGCCAATTAGCCCGCAGATTGACGCTGACGCCAGCTACACCTATTGGTCCTATCTAACGTGCTATGATTATTATTATTATTATTGATTATTATTATTATTAGTATTATTATTATTATCCTCATCATCAGCATCATTATATTATTATTGCCATTATTATTAATCGGTGATGTTTATACTCGTGTCTGTCTCGTAGGAATTTGGGTTCCGCGAGTCGTCGCGTTGCTACACGCATTCCAAATGAGTAATGCGGTAAAAGACCGATAAACGCGGTACAACAAGGGAAAACGCGTTAAATAAGCAAATGCCTACACATGTGTCAGGCGAGTTCTCTCGCCGATAATTCTCTCGAGACTTGTCGATAATTGAAAATCCATCATGTTTTGATACAAAGTGCAGTTTTGTACACTAAAATGCGTACACGATTATTACAACGAAGAAAAGTATCTTTAAAAATTTTTTTAAAATAATGTAAATGGCTGACCGGATACACGATCGTTATCACAGCCGCGTTTATCGGACGAAGAAGATTGCGATCGCGTGTCGGATTCAACCCGTTCTACTCGCTTTTGATATTATTCGAAACGTGCAAAGATATCGCACATATAAATCTGCATCCGATTTATATTTTTATCTTTAGCTACTCTCTCGAAATTTGTTTGAACTTGCGCTGTACGTCCAAAAAACAAGTAGAAAATTAAAATGGTAAAAAATAGAAAGGCAATAATTGGACGATAAGCGATATCGAGTGGCGTGATAAACGGGAGCAGTTACGTAACTCGGGATGCACGTGCGAGTAACTCGAGCGGTGTATTTATAACCCAGTGGGGTATTTACGCATTGGCGGACGTGTCATCTTACGCGCGATCGCACAAAACTTCACGCAAAAATATTGTAAATCCCGTGCGTATATGCGTGTGGCACGTGTGTGCGTGTGCGTGTGCACACACGTATTGACTCACGAAGAACGGGAAAAAGTAGTGCCGCGATAAGCGTGACACGACGAGCCACGCGTGTATTTCGCGAATCTGTACGCGGGACGCGGGACATATCTAACACGCATCCGCACACACGTATACACCCATACACGCACGCGTGACAAGTATGTGTTCTTTCTTTTTTTTACATAAGATAAAAAAATTATATCGCGACTGTCGTTTCTTGCCTTAGCCTCAACTGGTCTGTTTTTCTTTTTTTGATTTTTATCTTGCCCTCTTCCGCCTGACGATGCTTCTACATGCTTGCTGACAATACCTTCGTGCGCTTCGCTACCTGCCAATTAACGCCTGCGAAATATTGCCGACCGAAACTCGGAAAAAAACTGTACCAACGTAAATAATAAAAAACAATCAACGTAAATAATATGCACGATCGACCGATGCCACCGCACGCATGTGCCGAAACACGGAAAAAAAACCTATATATGCCACCATCGCTACGACCGCCGCAACGATACAACAAAATATGTATAAATATGCTAACACACGAAAAATGTCTCGATTGGGAAATGTCTCGGGAATGCCGAAAACGGAAACGGATGTGGTCGACGCACGGAAAACTGTGTATGCGGCTGTAAAAACCTGAAATCTGTGTACACGTATAAAAACGCCCAAAAAAACCGTGGAATCGGACAAAATCGAACGAACGTGTGAACATGAAAACGAAAAAAATTAATACGAAACGATACGAAAAAAAACGCAGACGGCGACGATGCCGACGAACGTGACGGGAATGGGTACGTTGGCTGGCGGAGTATCAGGAGTGCCGGCAACTGCGATGCCCGGAGGACTTCAGAGCGCCGGTATGGCGGGCATCGAGCTCGGCAAGAAGCGGATGCGCGACTCCAATGATGATCTGCTAATGGTACCACGGCTTATGCATGAAGTACACTTTCCTTTTTTTCGTAGCTGGACTCCGGTAAAATGGCCTCGATGTCACAGCGATTTTCGCAGAATCCTGACACATATATACGTGTATATCATATATTCTTCAAAATTTTCTATACCTTGATATGAAGGAAGATATTATTGCGCCAGCAAGAAGTTGACCGATAAATTCACAATACAACAAGATATGTTAACGACGTTTCGAATACATATTGCGTTAGATATTATTGGCTACATTTATCATCCAGTCGCGGTGTTGACAGCTTTTTCAACATCGTTAATCAGAATGCAAGAAATTAATCGCTGGCAGTCATAATCTCATGCTAATCTCGCGGCATTTCGAATTGGTGTTTGCCCGTACTTGCTCGTACTTGCTTGTGCTCAATCGGGGAAACTTTGCAAAACGGAGAGGTTTAAGCGTACGTTCGCCGTCGTAAATGTAATCGACCTTGCCGGTCTCGTGCGCTACGAGCGACGTCGCGAAGTTTGCGTCGCGGTATAAAGTTCGGGCGACCGCAACGAGACGGTTCCAGGCCATTTTCTGGAGATTCCACGTAGTCGTATCTTTAAGTTATGAGTACAGTTATTGCGATTGTGAATACACTGCCGAGCGCGCTTAGAGCTCTAGCTCCTGTCTTCCATTTTTATTTCTAACAAAAGTTCCGTTGTTTTCTCTATCAGCCAGAAAAAAGAAAACGGGAAACATTTCGGTGAAACCTTGCAGTTGACGCGTGTAAACCTAACGATACGAGATATCGCGTTTGTGTACCAGCACGGTGTTGTGATTGAAGCGTATATACTGGAATACCAATAATGTCACACACGGCGCCATAACTGAAACCTCTATGAGCCTAGCGACGCCACGTATGGCGTCATTATTGAAACCCCTCTAACGCCGGTATGATCATGTAGAATATTACCATAGAAACCTTTACGATACCGATGGCGTCACGTACGGCGTCATGATTGAAACCTTTGTAATGCAACGCGACAAATAATCGCGTCACGCGACAAAAGAAAGAATTTGCTTGAAAAAAATCCTATAATAAAACGTACGGTTTCGCGAGTGAAATCGTTTTTTAAAGTTAAAGACATGATTTGCAAGATGTGTTATAACATCCGATTTATCTACCATGACGCTTATATCGCACCACGTTTATTCTCGTATCGTACACGATAACGCATCGGCTTCTATCCAAAAACAAATCGCGTAAAAAATTCTAGAGACTATATCTTTTTTTTCTCTTGGTTTCGCTTTCCACTGTCGTTCGTTGCAATGTTGTTCGTACCAGAGCTTACGCCTCGTAATGTATTTATAGATCGCTTACTACTTTTTTTTTCGATCGCTAGCCACGCGTTTGTATTATCACGAATGCGGAAGAGATTTTCTCTGTGAAGAGAATACGCAAAGTGCATATTCCATCAAAGTCGTGTCCATGCGGAGGCACATTGAGCGTGGCTAGCGACTACCGGATATGATTTAACATACATTTATCCCTTGGCGATTCCCCGGCCAACGAAATTAGCGGATCCACGAAGGAAGTACACTTTTCATCGCGATTGTTATCCGCTTGTTGGCCGCGCTTACATTACACTTGAGAAAGATTCGAATTAATTGCAGATATATGCTTTAAAATATGTCTTTAATCCTTTAACAAAATTTGGCAAAATTTGTGTAGTCGCGACGTATGACACCTCGTTATTTTCTCATTACATTTAATGCGAACGTGTGAAAAGTGATTTTCTATTATGTTTTTCATATTGTGGATAATCGATTATGTGTTTCGACAAAAATTTGATTCGAGGCGCTTGACTACTAAAGTTATGTTGACAACTGATTTTTCATTAAATTTTTTCTATGAAAAAATTAACTGTTAAAAAGTCTGAAAGGGATTGAAGAAGAGATTACTGAAGATTTCTCAACGTTAAAGGATTAATGAAACGATAGAAATAAATACGATGGACGCAATATATTGATACGGAAGTGTGCGCGTGCTTCGATGCGAGCTCGGCAAGTCAACCGTCGACTCTAATCTCCGTACGTCAGGACCCTCCCTCGCGAAATGAAATGTAAAAGAGAATAAAGAGGGCGAGTCGTGAGGCCCTAAAGGCTCGCACTTTTGCGGTATGCCACGAATCCTGCATACCGCGGTGCTGCGTCTACGCGGAGCGTTAGATCTGTGTAAATTCTGAGCTTGCGCCGATGATGCATGCTGTGCTTAAGCGACTACCGAGGTGATGGTGGACGTTAACGTCATCCCCTCGACGCTCTGGACGATGACCAAAATTCTTGGAAGTTCTTGTCGCGAAGGATCGCGTCAAGCGGACCCTCATCGCCGCGACGCGTTTCGAGACATCGAGACATCGCCGTCCGCGTGACGGCTTCCCTTTATCTTCGTTAGAGTCACGTCGAATCTGCTAAAAAGCACTGTAGATCGCTTACATACACTCGCTACCTTTTTTAATACTACCCTTTCTTTTACTTCTGTCTTTATATATTATACATATCACGTATATATCTCGCTCTTTCTCTCTATCTCTCCGTCGCTAATACTGTCAATCAGCATCTGAAGCGCGATCGACAGATTCGTTCGGGTTTGAGACGTAATTTTATCCATGTGCAACTTTCTAACTCTGAACGCCAAGACGAAAATGGATTTTCGCTGTACAAATAAAGGCTTCCTTCAGAAAGCGCGCATAACTTCTCGGTATTTTCGGTACGTGAGTTTTCAATATGCGAAGAGAAAGAAGAAGTGCCTGCATAGAATTCATATAAATTCATAAGAATGCAAACTCTTGTTGCAGAAATGTATCAATATTTCAGAACAAAAATTTCGAAACGTGATGATATCGAAGTATAGTCGAATGTGAATGGATTTTCTCTGTACGCGTACACACAAGATATATCATAAGATATGGGAATTACGAATTTTCTTTGGTGAATTTGAAGTCGAAAGTTTTCTGACTGTAGAGCTAAAGGACAAACAAATCTTTCTTTTTAAGCAAACTTTAAATGAATTTTATTATAGCCTAATTTACATGTAAGTCATAATTAGAAAGAAGGTTATGCTGAATTTTTAAAAGTCATAATAACGTCAAGTTGATTAGCGCATAGCCATTTTTAAATTGATTAAAAGGAATAACGCTGTTATAGTGTATATCTTTTTCTAAAGTGTATTATTTCTAAAGCACTATTGTTTTCTTATTTTTATTATTATTTTTATTATTCTTAATATGTGATCGGAGAAGCAAAAAATTTGATGGAAACTTTTGCTACGTTTGTTTTGATATATCAATATATTTTCGGAAGTCTTAGTAGACAGCAACGCTCAGTACGAATGATAAAGAGCTGAAAGCCATGTTGCCTCTTGCGTGATAGCCAGTTGCACATTTTTAAGCAAACAAAACGCAGTGTGACGCTGATTCGCTTTCGCGCACACGCTTACTGGCAACGTTTCGCAATTACGTTTATTTTCTTAGTCGCGAAGCGCATACGGGCGAGTTTGAAGTCGTTCGCGGTGCAATCGGGAAGTTTGCTCGTAAAGTCACGGTTCTTGAAAATTGTATCCGTGCGTCGTTACGCGACTCCGAGTCCTTGGTTGGTGAGCAAGCCGCGGGAACACGTGTTAACACGCATATACATATATGTATGTATCTGTGTCGCTGTGACAATATGTTTCACCCCGGCCAATTTATTATAAGTCAGCTTCTGAGCTTTTGCATCTCGTCTACCGCAGCTTCTAACTCGAACCGTGTTTTACACCTCGATAGAGATTTTGATTTGGCTTTCCCCTCTTTGTTGCGCACGCGTCTGCCTCTCGCAGACGATTTACCAAAGTGTCCGCTCACCAAGTATCACCGCAAGCCTACCAGCTTTCGTGAATCCGTGTTGTGCAACTTTCGCATCACGTATCGGTATCGCGAAGCCTTTTGTTCTCCGAGCCAAGCCCAACTTTTTGCCTTTTATTAATATCTCTTCTCGATCTTGCTCTTTCTTTTTCTCTTTCTCTCTATCTCTCTATCCCTCTTTCTCTTTGTATCTTTCTCTTCAGTCTCTCCGTTTCGCTCGCAAAGGAGAAACGATTCATTTGTCTTCACATTTATCCCGCAAAAATGGACGAAAAGCTTTCAGATCGGACATTAGCATCGACACTTTGTTACAGCGCGATTCCTGCTTCTTCGCTCTCGCAATAATCTTAATAGGAAAAGGCGACAGTGCAGTTTTTCCGATTGGTATTTTGATCGTTTATTAATGTAAGGCGACGGTCTCTCTTTAATCGAGCCGCGCACGGTTCTCGATATATAACAATGGCTGGTCTTTCTGACACGCTCCCAGTAGTAGAAACAGAGGAAAAGTGCAAAAGAAAGAAAGAAAGAAAGAAAGAAAGAACGAACGAACGAAACATTTTGCAGTTATCCAACAACGAAACGTCGTCGTTTGGGAACGTCGCCGCAAGCTGCGTCATCGGCACAACTTTTACACACTACCACAAGTCCAACACTCTTCTCCACCGCGTCACCGTCTACTCTCCCCCGTCCCCCTCGTTTCTTTGAGACACGACCCTTTCTCGTTTCCCATCTCGAAAATCCAATTATACAGACGCAACGCGCCTCGTCCTCGAAATTAGTTGAAACCGATCCTGTCTTTGTTGCAGATGGACATGAAGTCTGTCGGGTCGTTCTACTACGAGAACTTTGTAAGTGCAGAACCTAAACATTGAATCATAATTCATATGCTGTGATCCATTTCTTCGCGCGTATCGCTCCGTTTGTACTCGCGATTAACACGATCTCCTCCCATCCAGGGGTGTTATTTGTCTAGGAGATTTCAATTTCTTGCAGCGAGATGTAAAAATTCTACTGACAAAATTCTTTTTGCATTATCATTAAATTCGCAATTCGCAGATAGCAGCGATTGTTTCTTTGTAAATCAGTGATAACATCGTAATTCCTCCCGGCTGCGATACATGCGACGTTAATCGCTGTTTTGCAAAGAAGACGAAAGAATCACTGTAACATCGATATCAACTCATCTTAAAATACTAATTTGTTACGAATTACGATTTACGATTGTGTTGGACGAAAGAGGTCGGCCTTTCGGCCACGTCAAACCCGACGTCCCCTGCACGGCTGGATCAAGAAAACTCATGAGCACGCAAAAGAGAACAATATATCGTATCTCTGGCCCAAAACGGAGTCGAGGCTTTCACGGAGGAAGCTTCCGCTCGAGAGTGGCCACGCCGCTCACGTCACAAACCCGTTCTAATCGCGAATTTTTTTGCAATTTTTTTTGCAGGCCTTCCAAGGGATGGTTCCGTATAAACGACCGGCGGCCGACAAGTCCGGCGTGCCGGTCTATCAGCCTACCGGTGCGACGACCTATCAACAGTTAATGCAGCTGCAGCAGCCCTTCGTGCCTGTGTCATGTGAGTACACTGGAACACCACCCCTACCCACCCAAACCTCTAACCAATCGGTCGTGCAACCCCCGAACGTGCAAAGCAACCACCACGCGATGGTGGTGCAATCCTCCTCCTCCCAGGGAGCCGCTGGCGCCACAGTCAATAACTGCGCTGACGCCAACAATGGCGTGCTGATGGATCCCTGCAACAATCCGCCGCCGCCACCTCCGACTGCTGACAATAACAGTAACAATAGTAACAGCAGTAACAAGCAGCAGGTTACCACGCAGAATCACGATGTCGAAAATGCGCGTAACTCCCCCGAATTGAATCACTCGAGCCCATCGTCGCTGCAGCAGCAGCAGCAACAGCAGCAACAACAGCAGCAGCAGCAGCAGCAGCAGGTGCAGGTTCAGCAACACCAACACCAACACCAACACCAACACCAACATCAACACCAACATCAACAGCAACAGCAGCAGCAGCACCAAATTAATCAGCTGACGTTGCCACCAGCGATGAGCCCGTTGACCTCAATGGCCGGTCTGACCTCGATGCCCGGCGTGGTGAACATGGCCGGTCTGACCTCGATGGCTTCCATGGCTTCCATGGCGAATATGTCACCGATAACAAGTATGACCTCCATGAGCAATTATAACTCTAATATGGCGAGTCTGAATATGCTCAACAGCCTCGGGATGGCCTCTCATTATCGAGATGGGTTACCAGCCCATCTCGATCCAGCGGCTCTCGCTAAAGAGGTTGCTCAGAAAAACTATGCTAAAGCCATCAAGCTCTCGCAAGCCTCGCAGTCTTACGGCCTCGGCCAGCTCGCCGCGCTTAATTACACCGGCGTTGCTTTGAACAAACAAAACCTCGTGAATCCCGCCGCGGCGGCCGCTGGGAATCCCGCGGTGGCGGCAGCCAGTCTGCAAGCCACCGCGGCGACGCCCAGACCCGTCATCTCGAGTCTGGCCGGTATCCCGGGCGCCCTGACCTCACCGCTGTCCGCGGGTATCCTAGCGTACTCCAGACCGCCGCCCACAGCGACCCCCCACATAAACCCATATTCCCTAATCAGACAACAGATCTTGCCGAATCCATATGTCCAAGCGTCGATACCCGGCGCTGCGACCGTACAGACCTCGCCCTATCACCATGTCCAGAATCCGTATGCTGTTCTACCTGGAGTAGCCAGCGTACCCGGGGTAGCGGCCGCGGCCGCGGCTGCGGCTGCGGGTGTACCGCAGATACCGCAGATGGGCAATCCGGCGACGATAGCGGCGCAGCCGCAGGTAGCGATCCCCGTGAGCTCCGGGGTGATTATGCAACCGTACAAGAAAATGAAGACGTCGTAAAGACGTCCTTGCCTGGGCACGGGAGGACTCGTCTCTTCTCACGAGAGTGCCGTTCCTTCCTTCGGGCACCTTCCATTCTCTCCCTCGCGAGAACGAGCGAACGATTTCCGCGATAGTCGCTATCGGACGATGATTGCCGCTACCAATCGCGCGGTAGCCGTGCAGCATTTTAGATAATTCTAGAGTATCTCTTTACGATTAGCGTTCAATTGCGGAGACGAATGACGGATCGTAAAAATTATTACGATCCCAAATAGACTTTCGCAATTGTATTTTCGTAGTTTCGTAGTTTCAGTCTCAGTAAGATTGATAAGAACGGTTAGAAATAATAGCGTTTGTGGAAATAAAAAGCTTTTTAAGATTAATAAAATACATTAAATCTATAAAATTGAGCTAAATGAATATTTGATATATTAGTTTACAATAACTCAGTGGGAATTAGTCCTAGAATGTTATACTTTTCGGCATAAATTACATAGTGGAGATTAAGTGGAGACAGTGAACTTCTTGTCATACGTTGTTATTTGATTTTTCTATATTTTGCTGATAAAAATGTTTTAAAGAGAGAAAGAGAGAGAGAGAGATAGAGAGAGAATGTATGTACAACATATACATTCTTTATACGCCATGTACAAAATATCGAATTGCAATTTGTTAGCTTTAATTTTATTCGATACTATTAAAAAAAATTACGTATTTAAATCTTCGACTACATCGACTACATCGATGGAACGAAAAATGTAGAAAAACAAAAGTGCAGTCCTAAGATATTAATCTCTATCGCCGATGCTCAAAAAGCGAGAAATCGGTCTTTGTTCGCGAGAGGGAGAGAATATTCAGTTGAGCGATTGCTGAGACGAGAGATGCTGATATAAAGAAACAAGTTCCGAAAATAGATTCATTTTCTAGTCAGACATTGTCGGTGAACAGTGCCTTATTGACCCAATTCCATTTGGAGCGTTATAAGCGTACAACTGCAGAAGAGAATGGTGAACGATGCGAGGAAGTGCGGGATTTTTTCCCGTTATATTAACCTGATGCTTGCTTAAATGACTGAGGGAGACATGACTACCGTTCCGATCTTATTTCCGTCGAAATAAATCTGAATTTAATTTCGACCGGAAATTTTGACTTGCCGGTAAAGACTGCGTTCGAAAGAAGGCGAGAAAGAGCTTGCGAAAAGTTGAGCGTGGCCGAAGTCTTGAATTACATTAATTATCTATTTTACTATTTGATTTTTTCCTCTAGAATAATAGGGATTTGCGACATACTTGATATAGTTTTTAACTTTGCCGATAATTAGCGTTGTTTTACTGTAGAGAACTATTGAAAATGTTATGTGTCGTTACGTGGCTCCGTTTTGTTCTTTTAATAAGCTAAATTATTGTAAATAAGTCAACTTGCGCCGTAAGTACGGCATTGCAATATTTTTATTTCGGAATTACACAAATTTTCGTTATAGCCATTCGTCCAATTTTAACGTATAACGTCCGAAACAAGGAAGATAAAAACGACGCTCGGCCTATGTCACGTTATGTGCGATACTTGCCTTTAAGTCCATAGTGTTAATTAGCGTTCGCGATTAGAGTTCTTGAAATAATTATTATTCGACGTTAGATTATTTTATTAGAGCACGGTTTGCTTGTTTACATATTGTAGTAATATGTTCAAAATTTTATTTTATTTGTTCGTCTTGGAAGGAAGTTAAATAATGTTAAATAAGAAAAAAATCGCGCAAAGTAAATTGGTTTTAACATTTTAGCATTACGTAGTGCATTCAGAAAACTGTTTTCTTCGTTATCACATAATAGATTTTGGATTACACGTGACTTGTGCGTGATATTTGTTAATATTTAAAGAAAATTGTTTTAAAATTTTTATCGACTTGACCTATCTTTTTTTTTTTTTTTTTTAGTTAGATATAAGAATATACATTATGTCTGTATATGGCGACATATATTTCCTAAAAACACCTTGCACATCGAGTATAAATTTGGACTGGAAGATGCGACGCTTCCAGTAGGCCCTTAGTTGTCATGTAATATGCGTAGAAATTAGGGTAGTTATTTGTTTTATACTTAGTGTATCTATTATATTTAGCGTAAGCGTGCTCGAACACAACGTACTCTTCTGTCCTGGTGGATTCAATTCGGGGGAGTCTGTTGCACACAGTGAACTTCGTCAATTGCGACCTATGAGCTTATGCATTTAGCCATTTTAGCCGAATGAGAGAAGTACGGAAAACAATTGAGAAAGAGAAAGAGAAACACGGCGAGTCCGCGGGATATGCGGATGTATTTACGTGGAATTGAACGAAGAAAGAGGAGGGAGAGTAAAAATTGATCGGTCCAACCTTGAAGGCGGTGGGACGGGAAGGGAAAATGTCTCGTCGATTGCCTCTCGAGGGTTGGAAGAAAATGAGTTCACATGCGCATCGTGGTACACGACCGCACAAACATTACTCTTAAAACACTCACACGACTTACATGATAGACACTGCGTATATTTTTATTAATTTGCGCATATAACGGTAAGAGAGAAAAGCGATTGTGCGGTGTTAGTTGAAAGAGCGCAATTCGTACGCGATAAAACACAGGGAGACGTATTCACGCTGGCATTTACTTTCCTCTCTTCCGCATGTCCGCATTCACGTGTCTGCCAGTGATTTGAAAGTTTGTTTAAGTCCAAATGCACATATGTATAGTTGTAAACATATATACATATGTGCATATAAGCATATATATGTATATATGCGTTTGTAAATAATTTTTTTTATATACAGGATGAAATTGAAAGATATTTGTCGTATGTGTTAAAGTTGTATGCGAATATAATATATATAAATGTTTGTGTATATATATAATATATATTTTAATAATATATAATATATAACATATGATGTATCTTACATAATATGTGTCATATATATTAAATATAATTATATATATACACATACATATATGAAAAGCACACTCGCTGGCACGTATAGTGGCAAAGAAACGAAACGGCCGGTCGTATCGTAATTTTCACGAAAAAAAAAACCAAGCGAACGAATTGTACGACGTGACGGTAGGAATTTGTGTACACGAAAACGCGGAAGAACAGAGCGAGACGAGGTATTTCCGAGAATCCCGGCACGTATGCAAGTGAAATGTACTTTTATCGCTCTATGCGAAAAGTTCGCGATATACTTATCTTAAATCTCTCTCGTAAAAGTTTAGTTTTAATCCTGGTCCTGGTCGTGACGTGGCAAATTGCAATTGCTAAGAAATTTTATTTAGATTACAATGTCGTATCTCTCCTCCTGGCCCGAAAGCTCGAGATACGGATATGATTGGAGAATAAGCACATTTTTTTCCCTCACAATTCCTTCGGTTCTTCCGCGGTATTAGAAACAACTTCTTCCAAAGGGTCATAAAGTGTCACCTATGCCGAAAACGCACAAGATTGTAGAATGAGATTGTCTTATGATTTTAGACTAGCGACTTTCAACTTCTAACAATAACGAACATCACAGAATAATCTGTGGATAATTAAAACTGTAAATTGTTACACACACACACACACACACACACACACACACACACACACACAGCACGTAATTTAAAAATCAAAACACAACATTCTTACAGAATTATAGATTTCAGATAAAAATATTTCTTATTCGCCTACTTATTTAGTATGTCGTTGACTATCTTATAATCTTTTTGACTTTACATATAATTGTACATGATGAACGTATTATATGATAATATTCGAATAATTACTTTATAAATATTTTTTCCATGGTCTAAACTAAAGTTGTTCTTCTATTGAAATGAAGAATCTATACATATTTTTCAAACGCTCATAACTTATACATTTATAATTGACGAATTATTCTATAATTAACGTTTGTAACGTCGAATTTTATTTGTTTTGAAAGATAGATTTTTACTAAAATCTATAAGTTATAAGTGATTATTATATTGTTTTGAAGTCAGAATCGAGAATTCTCAAGGGTATCATGGGGTCTTCCATAATGAACGCCACGCGAGGGAACTCCTCGAGACAAATGCCGTTTTGTTACAAGTGACCAAGGGAATTTATTGAGGCGCCGTGTCCCAGAGGGAAGAAATTGTTTCTATCCTTAGGATAAACGCGCGTGCGGCGGTCCTATGTGATAATATATAATGTATTACACTCATATGTACACACGACGCACACACTGTTCTCGCATGCGCGTGGCACTGGAGTATAGTAAGATTAGCCCTTTCAGTGCCTTGTATGGCGTCAGCTTGGAACTCACGATCAGTACTTATGATGCCACGCGTCACGGTATCATACGTGACGTCATCGGCGCTAAAGGGCCTCGAGAGAAGATGGCGATATAATAACGTTAATCCATAAGCAAAGTCCTAACGGCCTTGGACAAGCCGAGGATTCGCGGCGATGATGCGCGATCAAGTTCCGTACTCGACTTAACGACAGCTCTATAAGGTACAAGGATAAGTGGAGAGTCGATAGGATCGAGCCTGAAATACCGATTACGGACCGATACACTTTTAGGGTTCCTGAAAAACTTGATGTCTACAAATTATATACGTACATTATCGAGAGGGTGGCTGATTTTTTTAAGTTCACACCGAAAACCCGGAATCGCGTTTTTGGGCTCGACGCGATCGGTCCGAAGAGCGATCGATCGGTCGCCGCCGTTGTTGCATCAAATGTTGCAAAATGTTTCCTTAGAACTGTGATTGTTTTATCGCAAAGCTACTACGTACTTCCATAAGAGGAATGTTCATTATATTTTACTAGAGGAGAGTGTATTCTTTTAAGGGATATGTACTAGAGTAGGGGTGTCTCGTACGCGTGATATGAGAAGCGAGAGAGAGAGAGAGGGAGAGAGAGAGACGCAATCCCGTGTTCTCGGTGTGACATCGGCAAAACAGCGGAAGTGCCTTCCCCTTGCACTCTATACACCATTGCACACAGAGAACACGTATACAACAAATGCCTACATTATTCAGACATGCGACGCGGAAGCGAAGCACTACGATAAAGAAAAAAAAAGAAGAAACTTACACGATATATAATTATATTTATATACCCTTATTAAGATAAATTACATATATATATACACACAGACACGTATCGTATTGTCGTTGTTGCATATAAGTTAACGCGATGCAACGAAAGGAAAGAAAGGACATATTCCACAAGGAACTAATTACACGTACAGGAAATTATTTTGTGGACTATGTATCTGTACATATACATAACCACATATACACACATATACACACATGTTCGAATACACATTATGATGAGAATGAGAGAAACGTTTTACGACTATAACTATACACGCATCAGATAGTATTTATTATTGTGTACTGTACTGTCTCTTATAATTCTTCTCATTGTACATTATTATACATATACGTATGTAAACATATATATACATACACACACACACATACGCAGAGCTCACACATATGTAATATCGATATGTCAAGAGTAACATTACGCACGATCTCGGGAATGTGTAGATGCAAAAGTCCGTGCGCATCTTCAACAATTGTACGCGCGCGCAGGGTCTACTTTGAGTCTGTCCGAATTCTTTTGTTCGTATTCACCATCGTGTTGTGTGTACTCGCGCGTTTATGTGTGTGCGTCGATGCGATCGGGATTTAACCATCGTCCTCGCGCGAGGCACGGCGAAAAGTGATGAAACGCGACAGCTTGCGCCGACTCGAGATAGAGAGATGTAGTCGATCTCATCGGTCTCGAATTGCGTTTTTTTGCGCGTGCACGCTCACGGGGTTTGTCAAGGAGTCAGCCAGTATTTGTAATAATAATGCTTGAGAAATGCATGAATATTTGTTTTATTAATGCTTCTTCTTATTTCATCTCTTTCTATGATAAAAAGAAAAGTGAAACAGAACTTCCCGAGAGACTCGCTAATCCCTTGTAATATTTATATTTATACATATATTATATATATATATATATATATATATATATATATATATATGTACTTGTGTATTATTCGATATTGCGCCCATTATTGCTCACAGTCTTAGCCTCGCTTCCTGCTTCCCTTGTTTTTAATCTCCTCTCATTCGGAATCTATTCGACTCAGTGCTTGTATCGTAACCACTTTCTGTTAAACGTTTTTCCAATTAAAATTTGTATTACTATTTTCTTTCAGTGTTATATCACGCTGTTTACGTACCCGCTGCGATCAGTGCGACGTCACGCCGATCGCAATTTCCCGCGGATCAGTTACACTTATATTAATTTCGACGTATTCTTTCATTATTGCGTGCCCTTGGCGAAATTCCTGCCGTTGTTATATCATTGCTCATTTACGTATCGTTGCAATTAATTTTCCTACGATCCGCGATGATTTCTCACTCGCCGAGAGCACGCGAGTTACGCCAAGCACGCGAGTCCTCTTAAGACCACGTAGATGTTAGCCGCTTTTACTATGGCGAACACCGTAAAAAAAAAGAGAGTACCGTATGACTCACGACTCGCTGTCCTCTTCTTCTCGTCTTGTTCCCTGTAATCTCCACCTCCTACGCCTCCCCCTTTCCAAAACCCTCACAGCTTTTCCCGCGCTTTAGTTGCGACATTCTTGAGGCACGGAGGATATGTATTTGGATATGTTAATATCTGTATCTTCCCGATCACACGTCGATCCCTTGGCCTTTCGATTCCTATTCGATTCTATACAATCGCCACATCAAGCTCCGTTCCCCGGCAAAGATGGTTGATCGTCATCGAGAAGAAGGTCGGCGCTCTTATCGCGTTTTATCGTGCTCTCGCAAGTCGTATATTTCGAACGTGGGGTAAGAACAAATTTTGGGAGACGCGATATAAGTTTTTTATTTACGTTGATTTCGGTCGGTGATTGTACGCCGTGAACGAAAGAGGTTTAAGGCACGGCTGGTAATTATAGATTCGCGTTATCGTCGCCTTGATGAAATCCGATATTATTTACGCTACGTTCGTAGTACACGGCTTCTGTACTTCCGGGAGACGATTTGGAATTTTGGATCGAGAAAAAAATAGAATATGAGAATTGTTCAAAATAAAAGTTATTCCGATATTGGTAATTAAAGCATGTGATATAACGGACTCGTTTCACTTATTGCGACCTTTTTCAAATATTCTGATATGTCCTCACTTCATCATCCTGCGTTCCTCTCGCTTCCTCTCCAGCTTTCTTTGTTACTCATTGCTAAGCCTGCGTAAAGATGTGCGTGTGTGCCTAATGAGCTCTTCCATAATGCTTGGCACAATGAGCCTCCTGTAAATATAAAATCTTGACGAAAAAGCTGAAGATCATAGCTCCAAAACGTGATCGCTTTGCACACTATTACATAATATTTTATTTCAGAGGCAGTTTATCATCGCGATGTTGGAGTCATTGATCTTCGCAGGTCGTAACGATGCTACGCAACTGCGTGATAAGTTAAGAGGCAGTAAATGACATTTTTATCAATTGGTCTCTTTTGCATAATATTTATTACAATTTACGGAAAGAGAGAGGGGAGGGGGGGAGAGTGAGAGAAGGCTGTAATAAATCTTGAACGTATTTTATTTTATTTTATTTTATATTGCAACAGTAACATAATTTTGTGGAAAGAACTTAAAAAGTAAAAATTTATCTGTATTGTCAGTTACAGCCTCGTACTTA